AGAGAGAGAGAGAGAGAGAGAGAGAGGGGTGTGTGTGAGTATGTGAATGTGTGCTTGTGTGTTCGGGAGCGTGTTTGTATTTATGTCTGCGTGTATGTGTAAGAGTATGTGTGTTCTCGTCAATGTGCGTGTGCATGACGTTAATCAGCTCCCCATACTCCATGCTCCTTGCATACAACACTTCCCCAGCAGTTCAGATCTCTCACGCTCCAAGCCGCCCCCCCCCCCCCCACACCCCCTCGTCGTGACCACTGATCAAATAACTTAAAATATCCGAGCTGTAGTGCTAAGCAAACATCTCTATCGATCTGTGACTTCCATTTTCCATTACTGATGCACGAGGCAATTACTGCACCGAAATACACAAGACTGCGTCATGACAGAAGGAACTGCAAACCACTGTCTTTCTATTAAGGTAAGACGAGAGAGATTTAGAAATATCACAGATCTTCTCAAATTCACGTCTCCCAAGTGTAATCTGAAATGTTTTTATGACTTCTACAGCTATAAAAACAGTTTGTCTGCTGCTGCTCTCAGATGGGAAGAAGAATAGTTTTTATCGGTCATAACGTAGCTCTCCGAGTTGTTTAAGTTTATCATAATATCGTCGCCAGAAAAGCCATACCCGGTAGTAAAATTAGCAGCTGGCCACGCATCTCAAGGGAAAGCGAAAGTTCGAAGTTCGAGTCCAGGCAAATCGAATTTTGATCGTATTTTCAGTCAAGTTTGATTGATATTCACTAAAATTTAACCGAAAAAAAGCTTAGGCTTACCCTTTTCATTAACATTTATATTAAAGGAGAAAGGGCACAAGAGGAAAATGGTGTGCATTTTTAATTGTTCCCATAGTTCTTAGACTTGACTTTCAAATCGGGCAACCGTAAGCTAACCATAAACTTATATGGCATACATATAGGGCTGGCACATGGCAATGCCCGACTTCGGCAACCGACATTGTATTTTAATCATTATGTATGATCAGAAGTAGTGTCATAAACGACGACTTGTTGACAAATCGATAGTCCCTTTAAATCACTCGTGAGTATGGGGGAAATTAGAGGAAATTTCAGCAAACAGTTGAATTGACGCTTCAACTTTGACTGGCTTATTGATTGTACTGATCCTAATGATTGTAAATGTTTTCTCTCCCTGTGGAACGATTGGTCCTGACATGAGCAGGTAACAGTGACTTAACCGAAATACTACGATACTGGATAAAGTGAACGTCTTCGCACGAGAATCGAACCCACGGCTTCTATGTGCAACGGTGAAGAGCCTAACCAATGCACCACAGGTATTAGCATTTCAACTGGTTGCATATCTGTTGTATCATTTTACGAACTCTGTGAATTTGCTCTCACAGACAGACAGACACAGAGACAGTTTTGCTAATGCAAATAGTGTCCCAAAATAAAGTTAGGAAAAGGACTTGAGCCCGCTACTTCCATGAAAGGAAGCACCTCGTGACACAATGGCAAAGCCCTAGTGATAGTTGAAAGACAGAGTAGAAGTGTTATACGAAGTAATACTAATAACTGTAACATACATGCAACAGGGCTGGATTAAGCAAGTGGAAGGCATAGGGCCTGCTTGGAAGAGAGCCCCTCTCCCCCCCCCCCCCCCCAATCCCTCTCTTCTCTCCCCCACTTTCCAACTGCTCCTACTGCTTACACCACTAATCCTAACATATTGTAGTATGGGACTCTTTTAGATAAGAAATACTGAACGAGGACTATTATTCTAATGTGATAATAATATGTAATGAACAGACACGAAATGAAAATGAAATGAGCACACGTTGTTCTTACCATACTCATTTACACGGAGAAATTTAGTTTAATTTTTTAAAATTTTTTATGAAAAAGTATAGTATAACTAACAAGTAAATATTTCTCAAATCAATGAATGGACGGAGTTATAACCATTACAGCCCAGACACCTTTCTCAATTTTCGTACGGAAAAGTCCCTGATGATGTCACTGAAGTCCAATTCACGCAGTACATCTGACACAATGCAACTGTATATTGGTGGGAAGGTATCCTCTTGGTGGATGGCTTAGGACCTGGGCCCCTTCGACCCTTCCCTTAGCGTGATCCTGATATGTAAGATGAATTTTGCGCTCTTTGAATTATGCTTGTGTGTGCTTGTGTGTGTGTGTGTGTGTGTGTGTG